AGGAGAATCACAAAGTGTGTAATGAGGGGGAATAAGGAAAGAGAGAGGAGAAAGGAGACAGGGAAAGAGGGAGGCATCCTCTTCCAGTGGACTCCTGGAGGGGCAGTTTGCCCTTCATTCCCAGTCCCTCACCGAGTATCCCATCCCCAGGATCCCCTGTCCAGACCGTTCTTGGCCTTGCTAATTCCTTCTACCCTTGCTCTTGGGCACCGAATCTTTCTTTGCTCTTACTATTTCCTCTGTCTGGAAGCTTCTCTCTCTACTTCCTAATAGCAGCTTCTCCTCTCCAACTCCTACACAAGGCATTTGATCTTCATGTCCAGCTTCCAGGTGGAGATCTCCAGTGGTCCCAGTGGGTGCCATCACACCCTGCCCTTATCTGTCTGAGCCCTTTTCTCCTCCTGTTATAATTGCCTGTTCACATGTCCGTCTTCTTTGCTCTTCAAGCACCTTGAGAATGAGATCCAAATCTGCTTTGCTGTTCCACTAGTATATTGCAAGGCTCAATAAATATTTCCAGAGTAGGATTAAAATAATAAATAAATAAATAAATAAATAAAATGGCCCTCCTTTTTTACTGAAAAATCTTTGGGACCAAACTTGATCAAGGTGACTTTCTTTTTTTCCAGCCCTAGCCCCAGGTTCTACTTTTTCACCTTTTACCTATTGTCGGGCTTGGCTGGAGAGTGTGGTGACTAATTTAGCAGATAGAGGCTTTCCTATGGAAAGGGAAGGGATGGTTACACAGTTCATTGTTTGTCAGTTGGTCTCGGATCAGGAAGGCAACTGGGGATAAGGCCCTGGCAGAGAGGCCTGGAAGGTTTCCAAAGTGAGGATTCAGAAGTGAGGTTTCCCCTTCTCAGGTCACATCAGCAGTCAGGCTGCACTCCACTGTCTATAATGTCACCACTGGCTACAGACAGATGCCTGAGACGTAATAAGCATTCCAGGACCGCCACATGAGGCAGCAGCTGAACATCAATCATCCTCATGCTGGGTCAAAGGGTGGGGCCAGTGTGGCAGGTCCCAGCGCAGCTGCATACTGGGGCACAGATCCCCTCCCCTGCATACTTCCAAAGACCAGGCAAATATTTAGGAGAGTTCCACCAAACATCCAGCCCCTTCAACAGGTGTCAGGACTGATGAGAAAAAACACTGTTAACAAATGACTTTTCCATCTGTTTTTAGTAGATGAAGGATTTACAAGATCCTAATTTGTCTCCTTCAGAAGTTAGCGCAGCCAATACAAATCATGTCAAAAACACTTGGTCAACTTTGTGGCTATCACCTAAAAGATAAACAAGCATCCCCTTCTCCTTCTCTCTTTTTTACTTCTTATAATAAATAAAATAAATATTAATGGACTTGTCACAGCCAAATGTTGGGTTTTTTTTTACTTCCCTTCCATGTGGAAAGTTTTCCTTTGGTTTGTTTATTTCCACAGAGTTATGTTACTCTGTTGTGTGTTTATTGCACGATTTATCCAATCTTTGTGTTGTTGTTGTTGTTAAACATTTAAGTTGTTTGGGATTTTTTTTTTCCTTTCAAAAAATTCTATAGCGTATTCTTCTACATATCCCTATGTACATATAAAACTTATAAGAGAGTCTCTTAAGTGGAATTGATGGGTAAGTATTTCCACAGCTTTACTAGATGAGTTATCACTAAATTACTATTAAAAAAATGGTTATATAAAAGACATTAGAATGAATCAGACCTAATTTTCCTATGTTCATACATGAATACACAACTAGTGTAACTCCATATCATGTACAACCACAAAAATGGGATATTATACTCCACGTATATATGTCAAAATACCCTCTACTGTCATGTGTAACTAAAAACGAACAAATAAAAATGTTTTAAAATGATTGCATCAATTTACACTCTCACCAACAGCATATGTGTTCCTGTTGCCTCATATCTTTTCCAATTTTCACAAATGTTTCTGGTTTTTTATTCTTAGGTATATAATGATATCTCACTTTGATGTAATTTTCTTTCTGTGACTACTAGACTAGTAAGAATGTACATCTTTTAGGGTATTTATTGGCCTTTGGGGTTTCTTCTTCTGTGAATCATCTGTTCGTATCTTGCCTAATTTTGAGTTGTTCATCTTTTTCTTATCAATCTTTAGTTTGTTTTAAATACATTTAATCTCAGATTGATTTCTGGTCCTTTATAACTCTTGTTTCTCTTATAAATGTTAGCTGTAAATAGTTTTGCTTTCTAACTTTGGTTGGCACATTAAAATGCAAATTGATTTTTGTATAATGATCTATCAAATAAACTGCTGCATTCTCCTATAAATGTTATGAGGCTCTTTTTTGGCACATCTTTAGAAATTTTTGATACTTCTGTACCCAGGGAGATTCCATCAGCCAGCACACACTCGTGGTTATCTAGCCAATCCAATCCCTGCAGGAGTGAATCTATTCGCCAACTCCCTGGCTGAACTGCTGCAGCTTGTTCCTGAACATACTGACATATGCGACAGCAACGCCCCCTTCTGGAGGCCTGCCAGCAAGACAGAACTCTCCTGGGAGATGGCTGCAGTGCTTGTTGAGATAAGGCTGCGTGGCCTAGCTTGAGGTCAGCTTTACTGTTACAAAACAGAATGATCTCCAGGCAAAGGGCTCTGAGCCAGCAGGTTAGACAAGGGGCTGCCTGGTTGACCTGATTGGAGGATTGTGTGTCTTGCTTGGCCACATCCACAATCCTTCCACTCCGCCTATTTGGAAAGGCCTTGGGGACATCAGAAAGCAGGCCAGAAGAGGAAGCTGCACTGCCTGAAGAAAAGGAGTTACAGAGAAGCCTGCCCCTTGCCCTCCAAACACTGCACTGAGCTCTCAAGCTGCTCCCCAGCTAGATTTCCACTTGAAGCGTCCGTCTGGCCTGATTGCTAAAGGGTAATTGGGCAAAGAGCCCCGCGAAAGGCCAGGAAGATGTGTTCTGTGGATTGTCAGATTTGGGGTCACCCTAAGTGATGCTGAAGTGGGGGAGGGAGGATGAGGAACTGATGCTCATTTATTGAGCACAGGCTGGTCTTGGGTCCCAGCTGTCCCCACAGAATGGTCCTGAGGCAAGGTGATTTTTCCCTATTACCTCTTCTCTCGTCTCTCCAGAGCATACAGGGACCTGATGGCTCCATGCAAAGGTCTAGGTTCTATTTCCACATCCATCAAAGCTGAACACCAGTAGGGCAGAGTGAAAAGTGAATGTACCCCGAGTCAGACAGGTCTGGGTGGAACTCGGGCATGGCCTCCTGAACTCTTCTAAGCTTTGGTTTCTTCCTCTAAGGGAGAAGAAAATATCATCCTTGAAGGGTTGTTGAGATGACTGAGTCTAAATTAAATCATGTACCTCACACCTGAGTGGCTGCCTGATAAAACTGTTTTGGGAAGGACAGTGGGGAAACTGCTGAGTGACTTTTCTAGTTTAATGGGGCATTGGGTACTTGCCAATCTCACTTCTTTTCCACTGAACCAAGAAATGTGAATTCCCCTGAAATGAGAGACAGCCAGTAAGTACCATGCTGTGTGAGCAAGATAGAATTTATGAAGATGTGTTCGCTCATTTTATGCTTAGGACAACCCTATGGATACAGCAGATACTGTGGCCAGGCTTCAAATGAAGAAACCAAGTCAAGTGCTAGATACAGACCAGCACAAGAAGTTGTGTGTGTGTGCCTCCTGGGAGCCTTTGCTGATCTGGACCCCCGGGTCATTACTTTTCTCCTGTCCTGAAACCTAGTCTCAAGCCTTAGGTAAGCACACAGTTTTTAACCTGGCTCCTGGGCTGTCCCAACCACATGTTTTTCAAGGATAAATTAATCATTTCAATTGCCTGGAGCAATAGTTCGCTGACCCACACGATCCTTCCAGTCTCCAGTGCTTTCCTGCTAACAAGAATTGCCTGGAAAGCTATTGTTTTTATTATTCTTGCTTTTTATAGGAACTGCCATTCTGTGTAACATCCACGAGCTGGAAAGTGCAATCAGATAATGGTAGAGAGGAAACAAAGGTAAATGAGAAGAAAAGAGAGCAAAAGAGGCATTTTAGAGGCATCAGCAAATCATTAGACAAAAAAAAAAATGATTGTTCTTATTCTATTGTGTTTAGTTTAGCAATCTGTGTATACCTTTGTATTGCTCCCTCCATGGATTTGTAAGGTTCTGGAGGCGGGTATCTGTATCTGTCTGCATTCCATCTTCTATAGCACCTGGTCTGGCGTCTGGCATATAAAAAACTGACCCACCAGGTGCGGTGGTGTATGTTTGCAACCACAGCTACTCAAGAGGCTGAGGCAAGAGAATCACAAGTTTAAGGCTCCTCTGGGAAACTTAGTGACATCCAACCTCAAAATAAAAGGGTAGGGGATATAACTCAGTGGAAAGTACTTGCCTAGCTGTATGAGGTCCTGTGTTCAAGCCCCAGTACCAAAAAAAAAAAAAAAATCTAAACACTGACCCATAGGAGGAACAACTACCAGTGGCCCATCTCCCCAGAAATGCCTTTTCCTCTGGTACTCTGTCATGTCTCACAATGAGAGTCTCCATCCCTGGAAGGTACTTTCAATGAGGGTAACCAGTTCCTACCCAATGTCTCCAGAGCAGCACAGGATACCATAGAAGAGATATTTGAAGAAGAAAATTAAAGGAAAAGGTGACACACAAGACACCTCATGTTTCATAGAAATAGGCTCCTGGGACATGAAACATAGTTTCAGAAATCAGGATTCCTGAGAAAATAAATTGCTCACACCATCATTCTGCCAGGACTTGTTTGTTAGCATCTGGTTCTATGCCGCAGCCTGGGCCTCAAGGCAAAGAACACCTTGTTCTTTTGTGAGTCAAGCTGATGACTTGGATCTCAGTCCTTTGATCCCCATCAAAACTGGGTTGGACCACTACAGATCCTGAGGAAACCCAGTGCTGTTCAGACCAGGGGATGCCCCAAGCCTCATTCCACCACGGAGGCCAAGAGGCTACTGTTGTATTTGTTTCTTATTTGTCTCACTGTTTGCATCATTTATTTATTCAGTCAACCCATTCATTTACATACTTTTCTGTTGTGTTACAAGACGGATTTAAGGTGAAACCAAAATTTATCCAGATGAGTCATTTCGGTCATCAATTGCATTTAATAATTTAATTCACCAAATAATTTTAGAGACAAAAATATGTGAAAAAAAAACATCAGAAAGTATCTTATAGTCTAGGTACAGCAGTGAACAAGTAATCAGACAGTTATAATTGCACAACAGTCGCCTTATAATTTTCGTAGTCATTGGTAAATATTCTTACTGTCAGTGAATTTCATTTTCATAGTTGAGTATATTTTATGTATACCATTCCTCAACACCCAAAAATTGCTCCCCAGATTAAAGCTGGTGCAGTGGCAGCCCTCTAGCTGCCCACCCAGGTTTGCTGCCCAACAGCCTGCTGCTCCCAGCCAGGAAGCAGTCATCGGGACTGAGCTCTCCCTTTATAAGTGAAAGAACTCATAAAACAAACAGAAAAATCACAATGAATGTTAAAGCAATTCTTACACAATTCTTAATGCAACTTGCAAATTATAAGCTAGTGTGGAGAAGCATCTAAATTTGCAAGTATTCCATGCAGGCTCTAGTTTTGTTTAGCTTGGATCATCCACTTTGGAATTCGATCTAATAAATTCCTGTTAAGGATTAACTAGGATGGAGGAGGTTTGCATGTCCCAGGACCTCCAGCGAGAGACAGATGTTTCTAGGTCAGGACCTGCTGTGCCTGGCTCTGGGTGAGAGTCCCTTGTTTCACCCGTCTCAATCCTGAGTGCAAGCCTGGGTCTCTCCTTTCATTGAGGAGCTCTTGGGAACCTAGGTCCCTCTCTGGGCTTATGCAGAAAGAGATCCTGGTTCTCTTCACCTTCCAGAGGACTGTAGGAGACTCTCTGGGCCTCTCGGAACCAGAATTTCCTCCCTGGAGAAATAGGAATTCTAGCCTTGCCTCTTTTCTCCAGGCTGGCTGACAGGTTGAGGGCCTTGTGAAGCTTACATCACTGGGTAGAGCAGAAGGGATTTGTACTCACTGGTTCATCTGCTGGAATGACCTGTTTCCTGTGCTCTGGGTTCACCTGTGTCCAGGCTGCATACTGTATGATTCCAACTGTATGACATTCTGAAAAGACAAAACTATGGGAGATGATAAGAAGATCAGTGGTTATCAAGAGTTGGGGAGAGAAGGAGGGATGAATAGGCAGAGCAGAGGATTTTTAGAAAGTGAATATATACTGTATATGATGGTATAATGGTGACAGCACGCCATTTTTAATTTGTTCAAACCCAATGAATGTACAGTACCAGAGTGAAATCCAATGTAAACTGTGGACTTTGGATGATAATGATGTATGCTCATCAAGTATGATGAGGGCACATTCTGGTGGGGGAGGTTATGCATGTGTGGAGGCAAGAGATATATGAGAAATTTCTGAACCTACTCAATTGTACTGTGGACTCAAACTGCTATATATATATATATTTTTTTATAAATATATATATATTTTAAATATGCAGAGGAGAAATGAAAAGCCCCTGAAATCCCATTGAGAGAATAAGGAGGCCCTCATCCCCACCCCTGATCCCTGCCAAGGTTTTCATTCATGGCATAAGCTAATTTCAAAAGATATTTCCACTAGTGCCCCATTTCAGGAGCTGCTAACTACCTCTGAAGTTTGTGAGACATTTTTCCTGCAACTCCACCCTACCCCACAAAATGCCAGACCCTGACTACCATTTAGCTTTCCTGGGGCAGAACAGTGAGCAACTCCACCAATGGCCCTAATAAAGCCTCATCACTTGGTCCTGTCTGCCTCTTTGCAATTTCTATCTTCAATTGACCGAAAGTACCTTGAGTTAATCAGCAACATCACTATCTACAGAAGTGGTCTCCAAACTGCTGAGACCACACAGCCCACAGGGAAAACAAGTTTGCACACAGACCTCTAATGAATGTATATTTATTTATAAATTTTTCAAAAATAGTGGTAGGGGCCAGGGGTAGAGCTCAGTGGTAGAGCACTTGCCTAGCACACAGGAGGCCCTGGGTTTGACCTTCAGCACTGCAAAACAACAACAACAAAAACAGAGGTGGGATTGTAGAACAACATTTTTTATACAGAATGTATAGGAGCTAGACAAATAAGGACTATAGTACTTCTATTATTCAGAGATTGTCTTTTCCCGGGTAAAAACTGACATGAGTCGGGCTAGTCAAGAAATTTTATCTTTTCTCTGGTTACTGATATGATTTCACAGGACACAGCGATCACCTCCCCTCTGAAAGTCTTCTGAGAACACATTCCTAAGTAGGGAGGGCTGCTCCACAGGCACCACAGCTCATGTTTTGCTTGTTTTTTGGTTTTGTTTGGCCTTGTTTTATGTTAAATGACCCTCCCACTTCTTCTCCCCATTTGCTGGAATACCAGCAGCCCACATGGGCACAGTAATGTTTGAAATGGAACACTGGCATTCCAAATCTAGATTATCACCTAAAGAGAAGAAACAGACCTCTGTGTAGACTGATTTAAGAATGAAGCTAATCTAGGTGCTGAGGTCTGGATTGAAATCCCTGCAAGAGATATTTGAGACCATCCAGCCAATCCCTGAATTTAACAGATGAAGAGATGGAGACCTGACCATCGGCTCCACTTCATCCTTAATGTTAGGAACAAACCAAGACTAAGAACCACCTCCCTCCTCTCCCTAGAGATCAAGGTTAATGGGCAGCACTTACACCTGAAACTTTAAACTTCTTTGGGACATGTTACAATTTATTCTTTCATTCTCTTCTGAAGGTGTCACATTAGACAAATGAGGGGAAAATCATGTCAGAGAGGTAAAAGATTTTCCTGTGGTTGTTCACAAAGTTAGCACCTAGGACCTAAGTTGCCAAGCACCCAATTTTAACAGTAAACAAAACAGTACTATACATTGCAAAATCAGAGTTTTGTACTAATTAAGGAAGCTGGTGATTTATGAGGAAGCATGTTGAGTGTTACAGTTATACACACAGTAGCTCAAAGTGAAGAAAAATCTCTGATCTGAAAGACAACAGAATAATCTATCTCAGTAGTTCTCAAACTGTGGTCCCCAGACCAACGCCATCAGCACCACCCCAGGCCTCCTTAGAATGCAAATTCTCAGGCTTACTCCAGACCAACTGCACCAGAAGCCCTGGGAGTGGGGCCCACAGGCTGTGGTTATGTTGCATGTTCAAGTTTGAGGATGTGCATTCTAGAGCAGAATTCTCAAATTTTGGTCCTGGGACCCTTAGCTTTAGGATTTCCACAGAGAGCTTCTGAGATAGGTGATATGGAAATGCAAGAAAAAAAGTCTAACATTTCCCAAACTGGCCTACTGTTAAGTTTTACTGGGGCCCTCTCAAAAAGAACAGTCACCTGAATTGGGTGGTATGGCTCAGTGGTAGAGCTTGCTAGTATAGATAAGGCCCTGGTTTTGAATTCCCAGTTCCACAAACAACAACAAAAATAAAGGACCAATTACCCAGCCTTTGCCCCCAAGGAATTCAGAATCTGAGCAGGAGAGAATAGTTGAAAAAGCTAGGCTCAGATTCTGAAGCAACTCCTTGGGGAGTGTGACTCACTCGTCCAAAAGCACCTGATAATTATTGTACTAGGCTCCATAAACCAATGGTTTACCTATAATGTGCCCCAAAAACCAACACCACCAATATCTAAGAGACATCTGAAACTACACATTCAGTTGGGATGGAGGAAAGCCTGTCAACAAATGAAGGAAGAAGAGGGACAAGAAGGAAAGGAAGAAGGAGGAGAAGGGGGAGGGGAAGAAGGAGGAGGTTTCAAGGAAAACTAATAAAAGATGATTCTGCCCCTTGGACCCTAGGGAGGGAGCCCAGCTTGATGGTTAAGTACATGGGCTTTTTTTTTTTACACCTTGAAAACAGGTAGAGTTATTACCTGAGGTACACAAATAAAATAATTAAGCCCTTCTACCAGTTTTGTGCTATTTAACGTCTTACATATCCTCATTTCCTTCTTTAGTTTCCTCTTCACTAAAATGGGAATATCATCTAACTCACAAGGATATTGTGAGGATTAAAGAAAATATTGTTTGGGCTGGACTGTGGCTCAGCGGTAGTACATTTGCCTGGTATGTGTGAGGCACTGAGTTCGATTTCCAGCACTTCATATAAATAAAGGTCTATCAGCAACTAAAAAAATAAAACTAAAAAAATTTTTTAATATTGTTTTTTATATATGACAGCAGAATGCATAACAATTCTTATTACACATATAGAGCAGAATTTTTTATATCTCTGGTTATATACAAAGTATATTCACACTAATTTGTCTTCATACATGTACTTTGGATAATAATGATCATCACATTCCACCATCATTTCTAACCCCATGTCCCCCCCTTCCCCTCCAACTCCTCTGCCTTATCTAAAGTTTGTCTATTCCTCCCATGCTCCCACTCCCTATCCCACTATGAATCAGCCTCCTTATATCAAAAAAAAAAAAAAAATTCAGAATTTATTTTTTTTGGAATTGGCTAACTTCACTTAGCATTATCTTCTCTAACTCCATCCATTTACCTGCAAATGCCATGATTTTATTCTCTTTTATTGCTGAGTAAAATTCCATTGAAGTACATGGGCATTTGAGGCTATTTAATTTCAGCACCAGTTCTATCCCTTTCTAACAAGCAGCCCATCTGGCCTATTTGAGCCTCAGTCTCCACATCTATAAATAAAGTTAATAACGGTATTGTTACAGAAAACAGACTGCCACAAACAGCACTCAGAGAGGAGGATAACTCCAAACTTTTTTATGTGGGCAGGCCCAAAGATCAGACTCCAAATTCTGAGCGCTCATCACCAGATGTTCACAACATTTCTAGACTATCTAGTGTTATACCTTTTCTAATCTAAATGATAGGTAGTTGTGCGTGGGTTTCAAGTGGGAAGGATAGAGTGCCATTAAGGGGAAGAACTGGTTCCTTTTACAAGGCCTTCCATAAATCTCTGGCCTTGGGCCCGAGCCTTCAAAGGGATGTTTACACTTCAAAGCAAAGTAGTTAGACCCTAGGGGAAGTCATTGACAGTCCAAAAGTTAGGAGATGACTGAAGCTGACTAGAAAGGGCAAGGGAACTTTCCCTTCCCCAGGCACTAATTCTCTCGACAGTGTTCCTAGTTTATTCTGCATCCAGGCTTGGTACCCATTACAGTATCTTCCCCAAGAACTGTGAGTAGCAAGTGTAGTGAAGTTGTTGGTGTCTCCCAGGCTCCAATGGCCAGTGTGGTCACAGAGAACAAGAAACATCCAGTCAGTGGGAACCACTGTGATTCTAAACACCTCCTTTGGGCAGAATTCATGCCAACTTTTTTTTTTAAATCTAATTAATCCTAACTTTGTCAGAGGAAAGGCTGTAACCTTGCAGACCCTTCCTATGATGATGAGTCCTGTTCTTTAAATCTACTTTAAAATCAGACCAGACACCAACAAAAGATGCTTACACAGTTCTCCTTATTCCACAAATGAATGAGGAGATCAGGCAAGGAATCTGCTTCTGCCATGATGGGACCCAGCAGCCCACATGGGCACAGTAAATGTCCATGCCTCCTGGTGAAGTTTAAACTGGGTGAGTCTTAATCCCAGGTGCACCCCTGCTTGAAGCTGGGCCACACAGGTTCCCCTACCACCATCCCTGAGGTTACCCTGCATCTCTTGCTGCTCCTAAGCCTGGTTGCTTTTTCCCACTTCAACTCACTACTACTCTGGGGGGGGAAAAAAAAACAGGCAAGTTGATTGGAAAAGAGATGAGGTTGACACAAAATTTATTTTCTCAGGGAAAACTGAGAAAGGGCAGGACAGAGCTAAGAGCTGAAACAGGCAACAGACTATTAATTGGTTAAGGGGTTACTCTACACCCGTGGTTCTCAAACTTGAGTGTGCATCAAAACCACCTAGAGGGCATCTTCTAATGAAGATGGCTGGGCCCCCCTCCAGTTCTAATTAGCAGGTTTGGGGTGGGCGTGAGAATTTACTTTTCTACCTAGTTCAGGTGATATTGATCTTCTGGTTCTAGGGGCATATTCGGAAGACCACTATTCTACACTTTGAAGAAATAAATGATGACTTATCAGAAGCTTTACATTATCATAGAAACATCAGATTGAAAGATATTCTTCCTCAATGGCTAATTGTAGTGGGGGATGAAAGGAAGCATAAAATATCACTTAAAAGGCATCAAGTAATACCTATGATTATGCCATATTTGATTAGAGTACTGGTCCCAATCATTGGTTCATAGTATTCTGCTTATTGCTTATAAGCATGATTTTTTTTAAAAAAAATTTATTTCGTGGCATTTGAATGAGCTATTGAGCCAAAACATCAGGGATGATGTGTCTAGAGCTACATAGGAAACTCAAATGGAAGATCTCTGGTCTTCTCTCATTTAACCTGGTAACATTAATTAAATTAGTTCATTAACACTTCAGTGCTGAGATGGTGAGGCACAAAGAAGTACTAGAGGTAGGGTGATGGCTAAAATCAGCCCCAGCAGAACATGAGATGGGGAAGCAGCCTGAAGACTTGGGTCTGAGGTTGGTTATGGAACATCAGAATGCTGGAACACCAGGAGACCCTGCAATAAGGTGATGGGAGATATCAGCTTTACCTGCCTTTGTGTACCACCATCTTGATTATCAAAGGGATTGTGAGAGGCACTACAGAGGACTAAAGGTGAGAGAAAAATAGTTCCTGACTGTTCCAAAGGGAAATCAGCAGAGGAGAGACAGTAATGACTTGGCTCCTGACCAGCCATGTGTGCCCTGTTTAATTCACAAGAGCCTTACCTCTCTCCCTTGTGCGCTGCCCCAGTTCTCTTCCTGTCGCAGGAAGGTGTGCTGTCTGTGTAGGACATTCCACAAGGAAGCCGTGTCACTTATTTATGGGAGGACATGGTGCAGGTCTGTGAAAGGAGAAGACAGCTTAGCTTGACCTCAGATAGAAATATGTCCCTTGAAATTCGAGATGCCTTCTGCTAATTCCCATGGAGCCTGGTGTCAGGTAACTGAGGACAAGATTGTAAACACAGCTGCTTCTGTCCCTTCCTTTTCTGCAGGCAGCGTCTGGGGGTTACTCTTTCCCAGGAGCAGCCTCCTTGAGCCTAGAAGCCAGTTTTCGGTATAGACACCTTGATATTCCATTGTGCAAGCTCAAAAGAGTCTTCCAGGTGAGTCCAGTGCCTCAGTAGACAATGATGCATTCTACGAGGGGGACCAAGCCTGGCGCATGCCTGTAATCCCAGCTACTCTGGAGACTGAGGCAGAGGGATTGTAAGTTTGAAGCTAACCAGGGCAATTGAGTGAGTTCCCATCTCAAAATAAAAAAATAAAAAAGTCTTGGGATGTAGCTCAATGGTAAAGCCTCCCTAGGTTCAATTCCCAGTTACACACACACACACACACACACACACACACACACACACAGGAGAACAATTAAAGTGATAGGTATGGTGAGGGGCTCAAACACAGAAGAGTGAGGCCTACACCAATAGAGGCTCTCGAACATATTAAAGGAACTAATTTTTGCAGCATTCTGACCATAAGTCAAGCCATTTGCCTGTGTTGTTTCATCTTCAGTATGACTGGCTAAGATGCAAAAGTAGGCTCAGAACCAAGTTCTTTACCCAAGATCACCCAGCCAGTAGTGACAGAGCCAGGGTTCCAACTGACTTGAGAGCCCTTGCCCTGTTCACCCACCATGTAACCCACTAAGGGTAAACACAAGAGTCTGTAATTAGGAGAGAAAGGGCAATGTTCAGGCACTCCCCAGTTCTACAGCATGACAGTTTTAGGTTAGACACAGTGGGAGCTGTTAAAAACAGGCATAGATTATCCCAGGAAGTTAAAGAAATCCCTCTGGGGAAACTTGGAGTAGTGTTTCCTTGTCCAGGAGTGGCAGACCTCAAAATGTGGAGGGACCCCTCGCAATTAGGGGTAGCCCAGAGGAAAGGCATGGATGTGAGGCCTACAGAAGTGGCAGGAAGTCCCCCTAAAAAGGGAGAATCTCAAAGTCTCTCATCCCCCACCAATTTACACACACAAAATAAAAAAAGAGTAACTGAGGGTTGGAGGTATAGCTCAAGGGTAAAGTGTTTGCTTAGCATGTTGAGGCCCTGGGTTCAAACCCCAGCACCACAAAATAAAGAAACAAATAACGGAAAAGTAAGGTTTTGTTTGTTTTACTTTTACTCTAGCACTCAAAGAAATGAGGCTCAAGTGTACAACAGGTGGTCAGGTGGCTGTTTTGGAGAAGGAGGAAGATATGTACCTGGATCTAAGCAGGAGCCCCTCTAAACCTGAGGCATCGGGCAGCTGTGTGTTCCCTTCTGTGGAGGGCAGGTGGGCTGTGTCCTGTTGTAGACTCACAGGGCCTCAGACCATGGACACCAGCCACAAACAGAATGATTAAATAGAGCAAAATCAAATCCAAACCTTGACAGCGTCTATGCCTGTCCACTTCAGCATCGGCAAGCTGCAGCATCCTTAAGCAGTTCACCCCCAGAAAGGGGCTCACTGGGGAAGGTCCCTGAGGGTAACTGGGTCCTCAGAGAATCAGAGAAGTTCCCTGCCCCTAGCCACTGAAGAGAGTCTCACCACTCAACAGGAGCAGAAACCTTTGCTCTCCTGCCTCAGTGAACACAGCCAGTCGTTCAAGGCATCTCCTCTTTGACTGGTCTTGTCTACCTTGTCCCCCAAACTCCCTCAGGGCTTCCCATTCCCCCTTCACTACACTCTGCTTCCTTGGATACACCTCTGTTTTCTACTGTCATCCTAAATCCTGTTCATCCAAACCTTTGCCAGCTACTCTTCCAACAGAGGACTAATAACCAGAATGTATAAACCACTAAAAACACTTACCACCCAAATCCAACCATTAAGTGGGCAAATGAACTAAACAGACATTTCTCAAAAGAAGAAAAAACAAATGGTCAAACAAATATGAGAAAAAATGTTCCAAATCTTTAGCCATCAGAGAAATGCAAACCAGAACTATTCCAGTTTCACGTCACTCCCATCAGAATAGCATCTGTCAAGAATTTCAGATGATAACAAATGTTGGCAAGGATATGAAGAAAAAGGAACACTTATACAATGTTGATGGGGTTGTAAATTAGTACAACTACTAAGGAAATCAGTATGGAGGTTCCTCAAAAGACTAGAAAAGGAGTCACCACAAGACCCAGCTGTACCATTCCTTGGTATTTATCCAAAAGAACTAAAGCCAGGATACTTTAGAGATACATAAATACCCACGTTTATCCCGGCACAATTCACAATAGCTAAATTATGGAATCAGCCTAGGTGTTCATCAACAGATGAATGGGTAAAGAAAATGTTGTATATATACACAATGGGGTTTTATTCAGCCATAAAGAAGAACAAAATTATATCCTATGAGGAAAATGAGTAGAACTTGAGAGCATTATGTGAAACAAAATAAGCCAGACTCAGAAAGTCAAGAGTCATGTGTTTTCTCTCATAAGGAGAAACTAGAGAAAAAAAAAAAAAAAACATTTTGGCCAGGCACAGTGGGGCACGCCTGTAATCTCAGCAGCTCAGGAGGCTGAGACAAAGAGGATTGCAAGTTCAAAGCCAGCCTCAGCAAAAGCAAGGTGCTAAACAACTCAGACCTTGTCTCTAAATAAAATACTAAAAAGGGCTCGGGATGTGGCTCAGTAGCCAAGTGCCCCTGGGTTCAATCCCTGGGACTCCAGCCAACAAAAATTGTGAAGGAGGTGATGTTATGAAATTAGAAGGGAAACCAGTAGAGGAAAGGAATCAGGGGGAGGGAAAGGAGAGGTACCAGGAAATTAAATTGATCAAATTATGTTATGTACATGTACAGATATGGAATAATGAATCCCACTATTATGTATAATTGTAATGTACCAATAAAAAATTGATTTAAAAAATTTAATAAATAAATGAATCCTATTCGTACTTCAAGGACTAACTGAAAGACACATTCCCCCTGAAGCCTCTCAGGTCACCAGCTCACCAAGATCTCTCTTTCCTATTAATTTTCCCCCTCCTAATCTGCCACCATACTTAACTTTCTCCATAACATCCATGCCCCTCAAGTTTACTTGACTTGACCTTTTAGATGTCTGTCCAGATGACCGTGCTTTATTTATTTATTCATTTATTCCAACACATAGCATGATTCAGGGAGCACAACAGATTCTCAAACACTTACTGTTTGAGTTCCTAAGTATGAATGATGGACAAACTTCTTTTTTAAAAAAAATAAATAAAAAACGAACCTTCAGTGGGGCTTCATCATATCTGCATTACATGTTCTCAGAAACAAATGCCCCAGGCTTCACAGGGCACGTCTGCTTATATGGGGAAAACAACCAAACAGAACATAGAAAAAATTCATAATTTCACCATCTAGAGTCAACCAGTGTTTAAAATTTAGGATAGATCTTTCCAAACTTTTAAATGGAGAGATTACAGATGGATGGACAGATAGCTATTTTTTATAGGAGCTCCATTGAGAGATAAATTCACATGCTTTACAATTGGACGGACACATCATGGAAAAGAAAAAATTAGATCCATTCCTCACACTAAACATGCTAATTTCAAATGAATCGAAGATATAAATGTAAAAATGACACCATACAAATAATGAGAAAAAGTGAAATATTTTATAACCTAAGAGAAGCAAAATCATTCCTAACTATAACTAATAAAAGTAATGAAATATTAATAAATTTGGCTCCATGGTAATATAAAAACACCCTAAATAAAATCAAAAGTCAGACAAAATATGGGAGAAATAGTTGCAAATTGTAAAACAGACAAAGTCTAAAAAGAATTTCTCAGAAGAAAAGCTGCAATAACCCAATAGAAAATATATGAAGAAGCATTTTGCAGAAAAAGAAAAGCAAACGATAATAACTTCACCACTGCTCACATTAAGGGGTCTCAAATTTAAAGTATGCTAGAAACCATTTCTTATCTTTTGCGTAAGCAAAAATGCAAAAGCTTGACAATATGCTCTGTTGGCAAGACTCTGGGAAACAGTCATTCTCCTAAATTGCCAATGAGATTTCAAAATGGTACAATTTCTGTGGAGGAGGATTTTGTAATGTCTAGCAAAACTACATGTGCTTTTCCCCTTTGACCCAACAACCACAGTTCTAGGAGTTTAACCCAAATATAGCTACCAGAATTGTGAAATGACATGTGCTCAAGGTTGTTCACTGCAGCACTATCTGTAATAGCAAAGGCTGGAAACAAATTTTCACCAGTAGGGGACTGATTGAATAAATAATAGAGAATACACACAATGAATTGCTGTGCAGCTATAAAAAGAATAAGAATGGTCCCCAGAGCAGACTGATAGGTGAGAAATATGCCAGAAGAGTACAGCATGCTATCTTTCTTTATTAGAAAGGAAAGAGGAATATGAGAATGTATACATATAAACAACCAGAGGGTAAAACTAAACTTTTTTTTTTTTAATTAGCTCTATGATGAGGAAGAGGCTGACAGCTGAATGGAGAAGAGAGACATGGAAGTTAAACTTCTCTGCTTATATCTTTTTTATAGCTTTTACTTTCAGCCATGTGAATATTTTAGAGTACTGGAAAATCAAAATCGTATTTAGAAAAGGCAGCCCCCTTCAATAAAAATCAAATGGAGACAAACGAAGCTAACACTATATCAAGTTGATTTCATAATCACAGTGAGAAGAATAATTTCAAGTGACTTTAAAACATAGTATTTCAACTGAACACCCCTAGTGGGATAGAGCCTAGGGACAAAAAGAGCACAAAGAACTCTAAAGCCATGTTTATCAGTCTTCCTAGTTATTCAATGGGACAACTGACCCAGTTTCTTCAACAAATAAAATGTACAAAAATTAAAATGAAGTGATTCTTTTATGGCTTAG